ACTTATTTTTAAAAATTGATGCAAGGTTATTTAGGCTCTGCATTACTTCTTGAGTCAACTTAATGCATTGCAGTATATTGTGTTTTGCAAAGGTTTGTCTATTTTATATATTTAACATGTTTCTGAGAAAGTGATTTCTTCCCGTGACATCCTCAGTCCTGTCTTTAACTGCCAAGATTCTGGTTCCTGGAAAAATGCTGGCAATTTGTGTAACTGATTATAACAAAATAATATTTATCTGCTTTAGTGTACATATATATTTTCAGAAATTATTTATAATATTCAGAAATTATTTATATTTTTTCCAGAAATTATTTATAATATTCCCTTATTAATTTGTGCCCTGTCTTTGTTCTTGCTCAATTTGGCTAGAAATTTATCAATTTCATTGACCTTATAAAAAACCAACTTCTCACTTGATTGTCTCTATTGTTTATTTCACTGATTACATTCTTATCTTTATTATTTTTCTCTTTATTTTGGATTGACTTGTTATTCTTTTTTTTATTATTTATTTATTTATTTATTTATTTATTTATTTATTTATTTATTTTATCCTCACCCGAGGACACCCTTCCATTTTTTGTACAGATAGAGTGGGAGGGAGAGAGAGGAAGAGAGAGAGAGAGAGAAACATCGACGTGAAGGGACACATCGAGTGGCTGCCACCCGCACGACCAACCAGGGCCGGGGACAAACTGCAACCGAGGTACGTGCCCTTAGCGGGAACCGAACCCGGGTCTCTCCAGACCGCAGGCCCACGCTTTAACCGCTGAGCCAAATTGGCCAGGGCTGACTTGTTATTCTTTAACTAGTTTCTAAACTTTACACCTTATCACTCTTCTAATATAGGCACATAAATTACATATTTCTCTAAACACTGCTTTATTTTTTCCATATACATATTGATAATGTATTCATTCAATTTAAAATCATTTCTAATTCTCAGGATTTATTCTTGAGTCATCAATATCAGAATTGCATTGTTAAATTTGTAAAATTTGAGTAAATTCTAAATCTCAATTTGTATTCAAAGTTAATTCCATTTAGATCATAAAATGCACTATTTACATCTGTAGTCACTTTACATTTACTGAAACTTGGGTTTTGGCTCAGAATATGATTATCTTTTTTTGTTTTTAATTTTTTTTATTGATATCTTAGAGAGAGAGAAAGGGAGAGGGAGAGAGAGATAGAAACATAAATGAGAGAGAACATCAATTGGCCACCTCCTGCATGCCCCCCACTGGGGATCAGGCCCACAACCTGGGCATGCGCCCTGACCGAAAATCGAACCGGAGACCTCTTGGTGCATGGGTGGATGCTCAACCACTGAGCCTTAACGGCTGGGCTAGAATATGATTATCTTTTAAATGTTGTTTTTTTTAATGTGTATTCTGCAATTACTGACTGAAGTTGTTACAAATGTCAATTAATTTAAGTTATTTGATAGTTGTTTAAGTCATACTCACTACTGTAACCTGTTACTATTCTGTCACTTGTCTTATAAATTATTGATTGGTAGGGGGAGGTTGAAATATCCAACTATATGTTTAGGCTTGTCTGCTTCTCTCAGTAATATCAATTTATGCTTCATGTATTTTGAAGCTCTGTTATTCGATACATACACACTTAGAATGCTATTGTATTTTCTTGGAAAAAAAAAACTATTTCTTTATTAATATGAAGTGCTCCTTTTCATACTAATCAACTTGCCTGAAATCTATTTTGTGTCAAATTAACATAGCTCCTTCAGATATTTTTGGTTAGATGCTATTCTAGTATACTCTTTTCATCCTTTTAAGAATGGTACTTACGTGTGTGTGTGTGTTCTTAATCCTCACCTGAGCATATTTTTAAATTGATTTTTAGAGAGAGTGGAAGAGAGTGAGGGGGAGAGAGAGAGAGAGAGAGAGAGAGAGAGAGAGAGAGAGAGAGAAACATCAATGTGAAAAGGACACATCGAGTGGCTGCCACTCACACAACCCAACCAGGACCGGGGACAATCTGCAACCGAGGTACGTGTCCTTAGCGGGAACCCAACCCGGTCTCTCTGGACTGCAGGCAGACGCTCCAACCACTGAGCAAAACTGACCAGGGTTCTTCAGCATTCTTGTAGTTCAGATTTGTGGTGAGGAATATGCTCAGCTTATTATTTTTTTCTAAAAATGTCTTTATTTGTTATATCCACTTTCGATATGTACATTTTGTTAGGTTTGTTTTTATTTTCCCCCAGCATTTTAAAGATGTTCCCTTGTCTTCTGTCTTGTATAGTTTCAACAAGACACAAGCAGTCATTTTTATCTTTTCTTCTCCTATATGTAATGAGCTTTTCTTTGTCCTCTGAATTCTATTAAGAATTTCTCTTCATCACTGGTTTCCATCAATTTCTTCATGAAATGTCATGGTTGATTTTTCTCTGTCTCTTTTTCTTCTGCTTGGAGTCATTGAGACTCTTGGGTATGTGGGTTTAATTTTCATCAAATTTGGAAAATTGGTCATTTTTTCCAAAGGTTTTTCTTATCCCTATTCTCTTTTCTCTCCTTCTAAGACCACTGGTCACTATATATATATATATTTTACCACTGGTCACTGAAGGTCTATTCATTTTGTTTTCATATTGCTTTGCTTTATTCATTAAATTTTTAAAAATATGTTTTATTGATTTTTCTTTTTTTTTTTTTTTGAGAGAGAGAGAGAGACATCGATGTGAGAGAGAACCATCAATCAGCTGCCTCCTGCACACCCCTTATTGGGGATCGAGCCCACAACCCGAGCATGTGCCCTGACTGGGAATGGAACCAGGAATGGAACCGGGATCTCTCAGTCCATGGGCTCAATCAATTGACCCATAGTGGCTGAGCTATATTTTTTCTTTTGAGATAACTTTAGATTTTTGTGCAGTTTTATGAGATAATATAGAGAGATCTCATGTATATTTACCCAGTGTCTCCCAATGGTGACATCTTGCAAAATTATAATACAATATCACCACCAGGATATTGATATTGACACTGTCAAGATTCAGACCTGTTTTATTACCACAGGGACCCCTCATGTTGCCATTTCACAGCCATAATCACTTTTCTCTCGTGCCTATTTCCTTCTTAACCCCTGACAAATACTAGGGTGTTCACCATTTCTATAATTTGTCATGTAAGGAATATTATATAAATAAAATTACACAGTATGTAACTATTATGGGTTAGCTTTTCTCACTCAGCATAATTCTCTGGAGATACATCCAAGTCCTTGCTTGTTACCATAGTTTATAGTATTCCATGGTATGGATATCAGTTCATTTATACATTTTTATCTGGATTGATGCCAGTTTTTAGTGATTATTAATATGGCTGATTTTTTTAAAGTAAAAGTTTATTTACACCTAGTTTTTAATCTATTTTTGTTTATGTTTCTGTACAATATAAATTATATATAGAAAATTGTAAGGAATCCACTTACAAAACATATTGGAACTAATAAAAAATTCAACAAAGTTGTAGGAAATATGGTCAACACATAAAAATTAAGTGGACTTCTGAAACAATCTGCAAGTAAAAATAAGAAATAATTATATTCACAACAGCATTAGAAATGATAAAATACAAAAAAACAAATTTAACAAAACAATGCAAAAATTATATACTGAAAATTGTAAAACATTGTTGAAATTAATTAAAGACCTAAAATAAATGGAAAAACATTTCATGCTCATGGATCAAGCAACTTCATATTTTTCAAATTGTAATACTCCCCCAAATTGGTTTACAAATTTAACTCCATCTCTTCCTACCATAAAAGCAAGAAGCAAAACAATGTCTATTGCATCTGAGATAGATAGATATAGATGATAGATAGATAGATAGATAGATAGATAGATAGATAGATAGATAATTTATATTACTTACATTTTCATACTCCGAAAGGATTTATAAGAAACTAATGAGCCCAGCCTGTGTGACTCAGTGGTTGAGGGTCAACCCATGTACCAGGTCACCAGTTCGATTCCTGGTCAGGGCACATGCCCAGGTTGTGGGTCAAATCCCCAGTAAGGGGTGTGCATGAGGCGGCCAATCAATGTTTCTCTCTCATGGATGTTTCTATCTATCTCTCCCTCTCCCTTCCTCGCTCTCTAAAAATCAATAGAGAAAAAAAAATTTAAATAAAAAGAAACTAACGAAAGCTTTTATGTATGGTAGTGGTTGGGTTAAAAATGGGGGAATGTGGGGACAGGCTAGCTTTATACGTTGTTTTGCTCTTTGTATTCCATGCATTTTTTTTTTTTTAATGTATGGGGAGGGCAGGAGTAGAAATCCTGTAGTCCCACCCCAGTAGCCAAAAGTATAGACAAGGCTGGATTCAGAGTCAGACCAGAATCACTTAATTCATAAATTCAGTAAGCTCTGTGTGGAGATACTCCTGATAGGATGTGTGGCTTCACATTATTTCGGACTTTCAGAGATGATAATACGAAGACAGGAGCAAGTGAAGGAGAGAAGGAGGCCAGCTGACCGGTTCCAGGGGGATCTGAACTTCTTGATTTCATTTCCACAGCAGCTGCAGCTGAACATCTCCCGTCTCCCAGCTGGCCTTGTCCTCACACCATGAGGCAGAGATCCAGGGGAGGGAAAACAAGTTTGTCTAAGGATGAGCCTGCTCTCAAATTTGGGGAAAAGCAAGGTGTATAGAAGGATTTCTGCTGCCTCTAGTTAACTTTGGGCCGCAGGTATACTTTGGGGAAGAGAGAAATTAAGCTAATTCTTTGTTGGCCTCGATCCATGTTTAGATTCGTACAAACCTGGGAGTTCAGATCCACAGTGGGAAACGTTTTGGTGAATTAGTTTCATCTGAAAGTGGGGAAGAGTTTTCAAGAGTCCTCACCATGTTTCTGTGGGAAACCCTGTGGCCCCAGGTCCCTCTTTACCTTTCTCTACCCTTCCACCCTGTGTATCTTTCTAAAGTTAATTAGTTGCAAACTATCACTGCTTAATTGCTTTTAGAGATGGACCCCTGCACAGGTGGGAATGGATGTGCCCACATCTGTCAGAGTGAGAACGGAATGGCCAGGTGTGCCTGTCACCCAGGCTATCAGCTGTCTGAAGACAATAAAGCCTGCAGAGGTAGGAACTTGAATCTGATAGCTTAATTATGTAATTGTTTGAAATTGTGTGGTATTGCAATTTGAATAGAACAGCTAGGAGAAAGATGTTTTCATTTATGCTTAAAAAGAAACATTTATACTTTTATTTGATCATTCTAAAAGGTATTTTATGATACTATAAAAACTCAGAGAAATTTTCAATTATTTAAAAAACAAGGTCCGGTAGAGTTTCAGAATTAATGCTTTTTGTTTTCTGTTTCTTATTCTGAAGTGAATTACAGAATTAATATTTCAAAACCTTCTATAACCACATAGGGAGTTTTATTATAGGCTACAGAAAGTACAAATAACTTTGGAAAAGCAAGTATGTCCAAACTAGTGTTCTCAGAAGTAGGGATAATTGAAACAAGAAAGAAGGAAGGAAGGAAGGAAGGAAGGAAGGAAGGAAGGAAGGAAGGAAGGAAGGAAGGAAGGAAGGAAGGGAGAAAGGAAGAGAGAAAGAGAGAAAGAACAAAAGAAACTCTATAAATATAAGGTTACAGATTTCTGTTACCTAGAAATAATAAAATAGCCATACTTCAATTCAAAGATGAAAGTGATAAGTTATTTGATGACCAGAACTGATAAATGAAGTCATTCCTGTGGTACAATGTTTGTTTTAATAACTTATGAGAAATCACAGAATCCTTCATTTTATCATGACATCAGAAATGAATTTAGATTAATTATGAAAATATCAAAATATTTCCTGACTTATGGGACTGATAAACATTGAGAAGATAAAAAAGTATTAGACATAAAAATGAGTGATGTTAGTTTTTTTTCCCTGTAAGGCAAAACTAAGATAAAATTTTAGATGGACTGTGTTAACACACTTTTCTGACAGAAAACATTTCTGCTCTGGTCCTCTGCTTACCTGTCTAGCTGAGCACCTGACGCAGAATATAGGCTCTTGTTAAATACTTCTGGAAAATTGACAAATATATACACATATAGATATATGCATATACCTATATGTGTATCTATTTCAATAAATGTGTAATCTCTTTTCAAAGTTTTTATTTAATGTCATTCTTCCTAGAAAGTCCATCCCCCTAATTACTGCCAACTTAGGGTTTTACAAGAATGAGTATTTCTCCTGTGGGTAAGGATGGCATGCAGGACAGCACAAGGAGGACCCTGTAGTATGGAAAAATGATGGTGAGACCTATCTATTTAGAGGGAAGGAGCAGGGTCTACCTGGGCCACAAAATGAAGTGACACTGAATAAACTTGGCTCTCAGTGTCAGGAGAGGGAGAGGACACCACTGTTTAAATAGCACAGCCCAGGGACAGTCAAAGGTACAGCATGTACTGCGGATTGCTACATGCGAAGGCCCCGAGTCTGCCTTAACTATGACCACATGTACTGACTGCTAAATCAGGGAAATGCCATTTGGGGTGATGAATATGATATATATCCCTAAAGGCAAATTATAATGATGTCTACCTGTATTATTGGGGGACAGATAATGTCTATTTTTTTTATTTGTGTTATTTTCTCTTTCTTCCAATTACTAGATACTAGTAGTTTGTAATAGAAATAAGTGTGTAATAGAAATAAAACACTAGAATTAATGTCATTAGTAGTTTATTTGGAAATATGAAGCCTTTGGGGTATCTTTTTAAAATGTTTTTATTGCCCCGGCCAGTTTGGCTCAGTGGTTGGAGCATTGGCCTGTGGACCAGAGAGTCCTGGTTCCCGCTAGGGGCATGTACCCAAAAAAAAAAAAAAAAAAATGTTTTTATTTTTTTTTTTTTTTTTTTTTTTTTTTTTATGGAGAGAGAGAGGAAGGGAGAGAGAGATAGAAACATTGATGTGAGAGAAAAATATTGATCGGCTGCCTCCTGCACGCCCCCTACTGGGGATTGAGCGCAAGACCTGGGCATGTGCCCTGCCGGGGAATCAGACCAGGACCTCCCAGTCCATGGGACGATGCTCAATCTACGGAGCCACGCTGGTGGTATTTTACTGTTACAGTGGATGTTGGGGGTTGAAGGGGAAGGAGTGCTTTAGCTCATTTTTATAGTTTACACATAAATCTTAATTCAGCCTCCTAAGACAGCCACTGTGCCTTCTGCAGACATCAACGAATGTGCCGAAGGGCTTGCTCGCTGCGGCCACCGCTGTGTGAACTCCGTGGGATCGTTCGCTTGTGCCTGCCACCCCGGCTCTGAGCTGGGAGCTGATGGAAACGGTGTTACAGTAAGTGGCAGCTTCACAGCCCTGGAAAGGTGTGGCATTTGACAAACATTAAACAAGACTAATAAAAGAATAACACAGTATCTTGCCAAAGCAAAGCTCCTGAGAATGTTTTCCACCGGGGTGGGTAGGGATGAGAGCTTAGAACTTTAGCTAAAACATTTATCTGTTTTGTTGATGTTGAAAGTATTACAGATGTCCCCCTTTTTTCTCCTATTAATCCCCTCCTCCCCTCTCTCACTCCCCCATACCTTTATCGCACTATTGTCTTATCCATGGGTTATGCATATATGCATATAAGTTCTTTGATTTATCTCTTCCTGCCGCCCCCCTCTGAGATTTGTCAGTCTGTGCCATGCTTCCATGTCTCTGGGTCTATTTTGATCATCAGCTTGTTTTGTTCATTAGATTTCACATATAAGTGAGATCATGTGATACTTGGTCTTTCTCTGACTCGCTTATTTTGCTTAGCATAATGCTCTCCAGGACCCTCTATGCAGTCTCAAAGGGTAAGAGAGCTTTCTTTTTTACAGCTGCATTGTGAAAATGTACCACTTCTTTTATCCACTCATCTACTGACGGACACTTAGATTGTTTCCATAGCTTAGCTATTGCAAATAACTGCTATGAACATAGGGGTGCATATATTCCTTCTGATTGGTGTTTCAGGCTTCTGAAGATATATTCCTAGGAGTGGGATCACTGGGTCAAATGGCAATTTTATTTTTAATTTTTTGAGGAAACTCCATATTGTTTTCCATAGTGGCTGTACCAGTCTGCATTCCCTTTATTTTAAAGAAATGGGCTCTCCCTGGCCAGTTTGGCACAGCAGTTAGAGCATCATCCTGCAGACCAGAGAGTCCCGGGTTCACTTCCGGCTAGGGGCACGTGAGAGAGAGAGAGAGAGAGAGAGAGAGAGAGAGAGAGAGAGAGGAAGGAAGGAAGGAAGGAAGGAAGGAAGGAAGGGAGAGAGAGAGAGAGAAAGAAAGAAAGAAAGAAAGAAAGAAAGAAAGAAAGAAAGAAAGAAAGAAAGAAAGAAAGAAAGAAAGAAAGAAAGAGAGAAATGGGCTCAGAGTCCATAGAAAATGGTTGGCATAATGATCCCCAATGTCGCTGACAAGGACTAAGTCTCAGGTCTTCTGCCTTGGGGCTCCCTGGGACCCATGGCTCTCCTTGTGAAGAGTCTGCCCTCTTTCAAGCTCAAGGAAAAGGACCTAACAGAAAGGAAGGACCCAGCAGTACGAGGAGCAGCTCCAGATGATAGAAAATATCTGACACATTGGATGTTGTAAAGAGAATTGTTGTGTCAGCTCCCCCCCCCCCCAGGGTTGCTTCCTTTCCACGAGGCCTCTAAGCATCTCCTTCCAACTCTGCATTCTCGTTCGTTGGCTCATCCCTCTGCTCCTGTGATCCACCTCACCCAACCTTAACCTCTTCCTCACCTAGGCTCAGTTATGCATGTAATATATCTCTTATTGGAAATATGCTAAAATGGTAATGTGCTGAATTATTACCTGCTACTAATAGCCACTGCAGCTACTCTCTCTCTCAAGTCTTCCCCACTGGTTTCTGATTAACCTGTAGACCAGGGGTTCTCCACCTTCCTGATGCCGCGACCCTTTAATACAGCTCCTCATGTTGTGGTGACCTCCAACCATAAAATTATTTTTGTTGCTACTTCACAACTGTAATTTTGCTACTGTTATGTCTTAGGTGACCCCGTGAAAGGGTCATTCGACCCCCAAAGGGGTTGCAACCCACAGGTTGAGAACCACGGCTGTAGAGGAACACACTTTCTGCTCATCTAAGCTGAAAGCCATCTGACACAGATCCCATGCTCCATGTTTTCTGCCTCAGTGTTTCCCATCCTTACCACCGTCTGCCTCTTCCCTCCTTTTTCAAATGGCAGAATACTTTTTTCAATTATTTCTTTGGATGACTTTATCTCTGCCTCTTATGTGATCATGGTATAGCAACAATTCATTTTTCTTCCTCATCTTCAGACTCTACCTTTTGCTCAGTGGCTTCTTCCTTTCCTTCTCCACTTCGCACCTATTCCCTACCAGGTGAGTTTTGCTAGGTTTAAAACACAACCATGTTAACTGGGTTGGTTTGAAAGGCATAAATCTCCCATTAGTAAGCCACATGGCTGGACAAAACTATACTCTGACATCATGTCTACTTTCACCGTCTTCAAAATGAAAGTTGAATGTTTTCTTTCTCTTCTAAATCTTTATATCACCCCCATCCCAGCTTTTGCCTTTATTCTTACCTTGTCCCTGATGTTATCAATAAAATGTATGCAAACTGCAGTTCAAGTTAGCAGCTAATCTGAAATAGCTCATAGAATTATATGGGAAAGCCTCCACCCCCGATAACATGAAGGAAGTGGTCCTACTGCTGTCCAAGGCTGTCTTGTCCATTGTACTTTGGATTCCATTACTCTCGCCATCTGAAGACCTTTGCTATTGCCGTTGTCTAGTGAATCGTTCTCAGCAGATTGCAACATGGTCCAGCAGCTCCTGTGTTGGAAGTACCCTCATAAGCCTGTATGGGACCAGAGTTTTAATCGGATCACCTTCACAGCAAATGTTTTATAACTTCATCAATGTCTCCTCCTCATCTTGAATTCTCTCATCATGCTCACTAATTAGATTATCACCTCTCTCTATATATGGTCGCCCATGGCCTCCGTGTGACCAGACTGCCTAATAATTTCTCTGGTTTTACCCTGTTTGAACTCTCAGCTGCTTTCAACACAGTTGACTAAACCCTGTTCTTCTTGAAATACTTTATCTCTTCCATGTTTTCACACTTCCCAGGTTTTTCTCTCCGTCTTTGGCCCCTCTCCCAATGTTAAATTTATATTTCCACTTTTTCCTTTAACCACATGTGAATATACCCAACTATGTATTCAATATCTCTATTTGCTTGACTAATCAGCATTGCAAACTTAACAGGCCCCAAACAAACTGCTGATTTCCTGTCTCAGTTCCAAAGATGCTCTTCCCGTGCCCAGCTGATGTGGCTTAGCTGGTTGAGCATCATCCCATGTACCTAGAAGTCGAAGTTCGAATCCCAGTCAGGGCACATGCCCGGGGTTGTGGGCTTGGTCCCCAGTAGGCGGCGTGCACGTGTCAGCCAATGGTTGTTTATCTCTCACTGATGTTTCTATCTCTCTCTCCTTCTCCCTTCCTCTATGTAAAAAAATCAATTAAAAAAAAAAAAGTTGTTCTTCCCAGTTCTCCACTTCTTAATAAACTATCTATTTAACATTGAAGTCAAAAACCCCATGATACAAAATTAATAAGTGACAGAACTAGGACTTGAACTAGGGTCTTTAGGCTCCAAATAGACTATCCTTTTAACTTTATAATATGTGTGTGTGTGTGTGTGTGTTGTTGTTGTTGTTAATCCTCACCCGAGGATATTTTTCCATTGATTTTTAGATAGAAGGGAAGGGGGGTGGGGAGCGAGAGAGAGAGAGAGAAACATCAGTGTGATAGAGACACATAGATTGGTTGCCTCCTGCACCACCTCAACCAGGGCTTGGAGATAGAACCTGGAACCCAGGCATGTGCCCTTGACCGGGAATTGATTCCGTGACCCCTTTGGTCCATGGGCCGACTCTCTAACCGCTGAGCCAAACTGGCCAGAGCCATCATATATTTTTATATAGTACATGTCTTTCTATCAGTTTTAATGAATGAGAAGAATAAAGACGGATAAATATAGTCAATAATTTTGTGTCCTTACCTAAGTTTTCTCATGAACAGACATTCTTAGGATCACTAAATTCTTCATTCTCCTCCACTGCATACAATTCTATGTATCTTTCATGCCTAGCTTGTCAGTGAAGGTTTAATGTCTGTTGGCACACTTCTACTGCTTAAAAACAGTGCAGTTTTGCTATGATGATATCTGTCTTCTAAAGAACAAACTAAATAAAATGTGAGAGAAGAATTAACTACTAATGAGGATACAACTTCTGATGTGAGCCTTTCTCTTAATGCCCTGAAGCAGAGAGAAATGTGGATGGGATTTTTTTCTTCTTATTAATATTTTGGCTTTTTAATGTGGCCAAAGGTGTAGAAGCATTTTACCAATGTCTGAAATAAAATCTCTTATTATCTGACGGGTGCATTCTCAGTTATTGTGAAAGAGGGGCCATTATTAATGCGTTATGAAGTCAAGGTTCTCTATAAAGGTTATTTGGGGAAGCAGCTTTCCCTGGAGTTGAATACATTTGGTGGAAGTGTGTTTTTACCTTTATTTTTCTTATGTGAATATTCGGCTAGCTACCTTCCCTGTGCAGGTGTCACCATGCCTCCATACCGACTAGCTGACATGCAAAGCTTTCTTCCTGAAAACCGCTATTTTGAGTTGTTTCAAAATCTGCAGGTGGAGTAAATGTTTTCAGAGCATGGTAATGTTTAACAATGAATTGTGTGTCCTTTATAGAACAAGTATATTTGAGGAAAATATTGTTTTAACACTTTCCTAGGAAAACAATATTTTATATTATATAATCTCAGAGGCTCTCAAAACATCAAATCTCCACAGTGTGCTGTAAATGAACTATCACTCTCTTATGATTAGAAATTGAAAGTTCCAGATTCAGCATAGTTGAATAAAACTTCCAAATTTTCAAGCAATATTTAATTGAAGTTAAATTTACACATTGACTGCATTTATATATTGAGTAAATAATAAGTATTTGCTACCTATGAGAAACTACAAGGGTCATTTTAAACCCCCCCCCCCCCCCCCATTGATTGTTATAGAGAGTCAAAGGAAGAGAAGGAAAGGTAGGTAAGGAGGAAGAGAGACAGAGACAGACAGAGAGAGAGAGAGAGAGAAAGAGAGAGAGAGAGAGATGTGAAAAAGACACATCTATTGGTTGTCTCCTGCATGTGCCCTACCTGTGGCAGGAATCAGACCTGCAACCCAGGTACATGCCCTTGATTAGGAATTGAAACCGAGACAGTTCAGTGTGTGGACTGATGCTCTAACCTTTAAGCCATACTGGCCAGGGCTAAAAAAGTTTTTTAAAGTATAATTTTTTTAAAGTACTATGGTTAAACATCATCATTTGTATCAAGGACGCAAAATCTTAGCTTTTTCTAGAGGGCAGTTATAGATCTGAGTACACCCTTGTTTTAGCCTCATATATTTTTTTCCATGACATTATAATAATATAATTCTTATTTAAAGTAAATTACTACCAGAAGTCTTAGAGTGGCATTGATCACAGAAAAATAACAAGAATAGCAGCCAAAATTTGAAAGATGTTTCCCTGAAGAGTATATGTTAACATATCATGAAAAATATCTGTTGCTTTCATTATTTTAATCTTTCCTTTAGCTTTCTAATTTTTCTCAGACCTAAAATAGCTGTTTCTAAATCCTAAAGGGCTTCTTATTTTCAATCATAAATTGATTAGCATAATTCTTCTTTTGTTTATTCAATTATTCGAAACCTATTTTTGAACATCTGTTATCAGCTTGGTAATAGAGGATAATGATGGCCCAGAGGGGGGTGAGCGGGACACACAGGCTACTGCCCACCATAGCCTGGAGGCTGGGGCAGAGGGCGGATCTCTTGGTAACTTCCAGGTATCATAGCAGACACTAGGAATACTCAGTGGTGATGTAGCCTTTCACAGACTACTGCAATCCCAACTACCCTTGCCTGTTCTTTCTCATCTCAATTCTTTTAAAAGATTCAGGTCAGGTATTAAGAATGGAAGGAAATGAACCAGTGGGGACACTCTCATTAATAAGAGATCTATCCAAACAACACAAATGAAGAACAATAGAGGCCAATGGTAAAAACAGCAGAATACCTAAATTCCATACTTTTAACAATGATTCAAAGCATTTTTAAATTTCTCATTTCCTCACTAAGAAAATGATTGATTATAACGCCTGTGTGCTCAGTACAATTGGCATCCATATGATGAGGCTGATGTCACCATAAATGCCCCAAATTAACAGGTACCTGGATCAGCAAATTGGTTCTCATAGTAATAGTTTGTATAATAAGTGACCCCCATATACCTCAAAGCTAATTACCACATTAACATGATACTAGTTAAATATGGTCAGCAAATTCATTGGTTTTGTGTTCATACTTTTGTTCCAAGGCTATTTTTAACAATATTTTCATGTACTCCTGGCCATTAAAAAGGACAGAAAATAACATACCATTTGCTTGAGAATAGAAATGTCAGCTGGCAAACAACCTATTTGCTTTCTGTTTACTGATTCAATACACATACTTTTATGTCCCCAAAATACTGAGAATTCCCAGAAGTAAATGTCCTTTAAGATAAGTCTTTAATAACCACTGGTGGACTATTTACCTTTCTGCACCACTCTGTCAATTTAACATTATTTATAGGTCTGTTAGTATTTTGATATTGTATAGACATTTGCAATCCTTAACAGCCCTCAGACTTTGGCTTTTATATGTGTAGGGTGTTGATAAATTTCCAGTAAAATGTGCTGTCTTCCCAACAATTGTTGACATGTATTCAGGTTTTTCTGTGGTTATGCTAATAACCCCCTTCTGCTTGTTTGGAAAGGGATTGAATTGGAAATTGTCAATAGCTGTGAAAAGAACAATGGTGGTTGTTCTCATCACTGTGAGCATGCACTCGGTGGGCCCCGTTGTTCCTGTAACCATGGACACCGGCTGGATGCAGATGGGAAAACATGCATAGGTAATGTATGGTAAATGCCATCTTCCTTCAGGGTTCTCCGGGATTCACTTAGCCCTTTTCTCTCCAATACTTCTGCAATGCAAGCCTCATCTCTCAGACTGCACGGAGAAACGAACTGGACAGTGTCTCTGGCTACCGGACCAATGTAAAAGAAATATTACTTGGCAGAAGACATCATTAACTTTGAATGCTTTGAAGTTAAAGGAGCTTTGAAACACTTTAACAAAATATGTGGACTTCGTTTTATTTCAGGAAAATATTCCAAGTCCTATCTAACCACGTAAATGCGATTTGTAACTCAAACAACAAATGCTACCAGGTGCCCTCCTTCTCTCTGCTCAAGCTGAAGCTAAACCCTGGGCATCCGTTTTCTGCCGGTGGGAGTTTAGGTGCATGTTCCGCTTTGGCATGGCAGGCAGCTACGTTCCAAAAGGAAACTTTAAAAGATACCATTCTTTGGAAATCCCAGCTCAAACCCATTTTTAATAAATAACGTTTCCAACATAATATTGGAACTAATATCATTAGGGACAATGAGAAAAATAAATTCCACTCCAGCCTTGCTTCATAATGGAATGTTGAATCTAGAGCTTCTGAGAAAAATAGGGATAGTGGGCATCAAACTGTACCATGATGTGCTCTGGGTCTGAGCACACATACAAGCCTCTATAAAGCAGTTTGCCATTGTTTCGGAATTAAATATCACATTTGCTTGTTTTCTTTTGTGATACCTTATATCACCTTTCTTAATTATGAATACTAAAAAAAAAATCTTTGACCATTTTATACTACTCAGCATGGTTAGAGACAAACTGGAATCTCATAAAAGAGATGAATTTCAAAGGTCTAAGTATTGGGGGTTATTTGTTATCATGTGATGATGTGAACTTTAAGAATTCTGGTTTCATAAATTATTTAACCAAAACAATGTCATTATTTGTGTTTCTTGATCCAATATTGCCTCCTGCATATTTCCGAGTCTACAGTATTAACTATGAAATCTGTTGGTTTCCTTGCTTCTTCTTATGTAATGAAAAATATGCTTATATTTTTCTACCTTGCTAATATCTGTACCTCTGGAAAAAATAAAGGGATTTCTTCTTTTCTTCTCCGCTCCCTTCCTTGCCTTCTACTTGTCTTTTCACAAAACCTTTTGTTTGCAATGTATAATTTGGTGTCTTTCCTTATTCTTTGAAAAGTAAGATTCAGTTAAAATGCTTATTTATAACTAAAAAGAAAAAAAAAAAGAGCATCTGCCAGGGTCAGAATGTAGAAAATTACATATTTATGAAATTTCAGCGGTCAGCATGACATTATATTGTTTATGGCTTACGTTTATTTCATTTCATAACAATAAATAGCACTCATTCCTAAACACCAAAATATTCACTCTAGTACAGCAATGATTTGTTTGGAGTGCACATATATGTACTTTGCTTATTTGCCTGAGAACAGATTAAGGCTGTGGATGATTTGTAAAAACATTCATGTCTGAAAGAAATTAAAGAATTTTCTTTTTCGCTTATTTTAGGATTAGCTTCTTTTTTTTATATTTGAGAAAGTACAAATAAATGTGAAAATAAGTCATCCAGTCTGCAAATTGCCAATCTGCCTTGCCCAAATGAAAAAATGTATTAGGGCTAAAACCCAGAGATGTGTTAACACAATTTGAAAGAAGCTATGCAAGTGTCTGACCAGCAATGAGCTCATTACATTTCACGATCGTTAGCTATTAGAAAAAAATGTCTTTCTAACCTTTAGAGTTAATTCAACAACTACATATGAAGGGATGGGGGCATACAGAAGATCAATTTTTTCCAAGGTTTAATTTTCATGCTTTTCTGAAATCAGAGCTGAAACATTTAATTGTTTTGCCTGGCTACAATCGAAGCTCTATTTTTTATTGGAGCTAAGTTTTTATGAACAGGTGAATTTCTCTGCAATGTTGCAATATAATAGTGTATTGGCCAATGTAGGGAAAACATGATCATCAGAGAGGAGGAAAGGAAAAAGGGAAAACTAAGCAAGCAAAGATCTTACTAAATAAGATCTGCAAATAAGTAAAACAATTTAAGAAACACGTGGTGTAAGAGTTGGGGGGTGGGGGGGGCTAGCCTTTTAGGAAAGGCTTGTGCCTTGGAAAAGACAAGGCTTCAGGTGAGTTTCAGACTGAGGATGGTTGACCCGAGAAAAACTAGAAATCACCCCAGAAAAATGAGAGAAGAATCCAAAATGGATCATATAATGTTACAGTGAGGAACTCATTTTCCAGTTGTGATCCGTTGTGCTCCTAGTAGCTGAGAACAAGGAGTCCTGAGACATGTGTTTGGAGGTGCTACTGCTATTTGAGAAGACTTTAAAATATTTTTAAATAAAAGAACATACAGGATAATGTTTTAGATTCAATAAAACTGAATTTTTAAAATTAATTTTGCCCTCCGTATTCATGCTATTTAATCCAAAGGGCAAAGGATAGTTTAATATAAGAGAGAGAAATAGATCACCTAGATTTTTGTGAGTAGCATTGCTTGTGACATTTTGCAGGAGAAAGAATGTTATGTGTCCAAATGACCTTCATTTAGAGATTTTATGGTGACCCCTCGCCTCAGATAATTGACTGCGTGTTCTTTCCTTCCTTTCTCTTCTCTGCATTTCCTTACATTGGTACCCTTTCCAAGGTTAATTGAGATATTGACCTTTTATGTCTGTGGCTGCTCATGTAGTGATGGAACAATGGGACCTTGTAAACTTGGCACTGACAGGCCACCCAACTTACCATCTCAACAAACACTGGGGGCTGAATGGAACCAAGGGCCTGTAGCCAAAAACCCTGACCACACAACTGACCACACAACTCCCAGGCGTCTGGCCTAAGGGCAGCGGTGGGTGAAGAGTCTGTTGCTCCTCCTTAGCCAGTATGTTAGAAATGATCACCTCCAAACTGAAGCCAAATAGATTATTCTTTGGCCAAAGGGTTTCAATTTGAAATCTTCTGGTGCATTTGTATTTTCCTCAGGGCAGTTATGTGTGTGGGAGAAATATCCAGGGTTGGAGAATTCTGGAATAGTAGTGCCGAAGGGGACTTAAAGAGCACCCCTTAGAAAGCTGTTTGTCTGATAGGGGGATGTCACCAACAGCAATAAAAAAATAAATAACAACAACAACAAAAACCAGACCCCACTCGTCTCAGTCAAAGCATCATCGCAAAGTGCAAGCAAATGCTCTGAAATATTCTGTAATTTGAAACGTAATGTTTAAAAAGATGGTCTGCCCTCCCTCCAAATGGCAGCTGCCACCTCTGTCCCCAGTTTCGTGAATTCCTTCTGCTGCAAAGGCTCTGTTGGCTGAAGGACAAGCCGAGTGTGAGACGCCCTCCTCTTTGCAGTTCTCAAACATTCCCAAAGTGGGACTTCGGTTCTTCTCCTTGTTGTTGTTCTTCTTCAAGTTCTCTGTTTATTTAATCAAATTGCTGTTTAAACTGGAAAAAAATAAATAGCAGAGATCTCTTTTCCTGTGCTTATAAATGCATTTGGAGATTATTTACATACTTTTAAAATAAATGGCAGGCGTAGGAGAAACATGCAAGAAACAAACCCAGCCCTGGCTGGTTTGGCTCAGCAGTTAGAGCATCGGCCTGCGGTCCAGAGAGACCCGGGTTCGGTTCCCGCTAAGGGCATGTACCTCGGTTGCAGTTTGTCCCCGGCCCTGGTTGGGTTGTGCGGGTGGCGGCCACTCGATGTGTCCCTTTCACGTCGATGTTTCTCTCTCCCTCTTTCTCTTCCTCTCTCTCCCTCCCACTCTATCTGAACAAAAAATGTCCTCGGGTGAGGATTAAAAAAAAAAGAAACAAACCCGAACGTCTCATTCTTTTTGTGTCATAGTGTCTTTGATGTCTGTACTGTGTAGTCTGAGAAATAGAAAATGATTAGTAAAACAATTTTAATTTAGAAGAGAGGCTTATCAGCGCTTCTACAGGCCAAACGCCTGCCTCTTAAACGAAGAAAATGCCATTTTGCCCTTCAGACCTCGACGAATGTGCGAGTGGAGAATCCTGCTGTGCCCAGCTCTGCATCAGCTCTCTGGGAGGCTACGAATGCCGCTGCCAGGAAGGCTTTCGGATCCGCTCAGGTGGCTGTGGGTGCGAGGGTGAGCTCCTGAGGTCTACCGCGAAATCACTGATGTGCCGGGCAGTCAATGCAGGAGGAACATAAGGGAGGGGGTTAGGGTGGGAAAGGGAAGCTTGACCCTAAGGAGACTGGGATTTCGATGTGGTTCCACCATGTACTATCCCATGAACCTGGGCGACGCTAACCGCGCTGAGCCTCAGATCCTCACCTGTAATGTGAAGGTGACCATAGGGTCAGTGCGTAAATGAAGGAAAGTAAGAAATGTGAAGTGCGCGGTACCGTGATTGACACAGAGACATCGCTCACCTAAAGGTAGCTGTTATTATTGTAACACTCATTGGCCCATAATCCCTTTTACCTGATTGAGTCTATATAGACAAGTGAGAGGGTCCGGCAGGTCAGAGCACACACGTGGCCACACGAGTCACTCATGACAAGCTTGACTGGAACTGGAAAGTTGGTGGCTGAGAGTCATTTTAATTAGAGAACAGTAGCAAAGGGGTTGCCGGGTCATTGCCACAGTTCAGTCTGTATCAGAGTCTTTTGTGTGTCTGATATTAATCTAGCTAATACAAGTCTTAAGATATCATTTTACAATTTTCTAACTTATTTGTTAAAATTGTTTCACTTTTCAGGTGATTTCTATATTATGTATTTGTTTCCACAGGAGAGTTTAGATTTAGAGAGTGGAGTTCATTCACTTTTTTATACCATGACATTAAGAACAGCTCATTTAAGTCATTGCTACCTTTTTTTTTAAGTTTCTTTTTAAAATGTGATCTTTAGATTTTCACTTTATGAGCATTATTACCATTATTTTGAACCACATTTTTTAAATCAAAGCAAACATAAGATAATCTTTTTAAATAATAGTCAAAGTGTATAAGAATATTATGCCTCAGGAAAATAGTGTTTCCTTGCATAAAGATAAAAATTCCTGAATTATGTTGAGGATGATAGGTGTGTATCTTCATATAGATGCCAAGCTCTCAACTTTATAGTGTAGATAACAGCAAAAACAACTGTGAGAGCTATACATTCTAAACACAGTACAGTATATCACCATTTACCATATTCCATCCAGTTAACAGGGCCCAAAGATGTGAATTTCCTCAACCATCTGCTCTTAAGCAGAGTGAGCCAAAAGATGATTATATGGTGTGAATATACATAATTGGGTATATACATCCAAATGAAGAAGACATCACAGTCTGAGGCAAAGCTTAGAAACCCAGCTTCATCAGTGAACTTCTACTATTGTGAACACACTGACCAAAGTCCAGGCTTAGATATGCAGTCACATGAGATCAAGCCTTCACGTTCTTCTACCTCTCAAATTCTCCACCAACTTCATACAGTATTATGCATGGAATAAATGCTTCATCACAGATACTGAATCATTCAAGAATGAATGAACATTATGCAAAGTGGTACACAGCCTGAGACCACTGAATTTATTTTAAGTTTTAAATTCTTCATCAAAACCTCATAAGCAAGGTCCCAGAAAGAGCTTGTTTATGTAGATGAACTAGAGTAAACTTGGAAATAAGTGAAAGGAAAACATTGGCAGGATATACTTGAGAAAGTGTCCAGGGCTATGCTTTCTGTGGGGCAGTACATTGTCACCAACTAATAAAGGTGACAAGAGGAACACAAATAGGCCCATGTGTTCATAATGTCTGTATTACCTCTCAGTGCCTAAAACGGGCATTGTTTACATGTTCCTAGATGTGGACGAGTGTCTGGCTATCAGCACAGCCTGTGACCAAGTATGCATGAACTCTGTGGGAACGTACACTGTGCTTGTGAAGAAGGCTACAGAACGGGAAGTGATGGGAAAACGTGCATCTGTAAGTCACTGTGAAGAATTGTATTGTGTCTCTTCTAAACTACTTCCATCCTCATTTTCCTCTTCAGGAGAAACAGAGACCACATATTCCTTAACTCAAACCCATCCTGCCCTTTCTCCCTCTTCACAGACCGAGATCTTTTCCTCTTGTTCTCTCTGCTACGGTTTCAGCTTTGTGACAGCTGCTTGTCACCTTCATTTACAAGAGACTTTTTGAAATGGCCTCAAAGAGTTTCTCCTCTCCGTGGCCCCCTGCCTTGGCTGTCGAGTTCAAACCGCCTCATTTCTCTCATCCGCCCTTATTCAGGGTTTCCTTCTTTTCGCCAGCATGTTGAATCCAGGCATTTTTCCTGTGTGGTCTTAGCTTTAGATGATGAGCTAGAGGAAGGAGAGGAATTGGAAGTGAGGTTCGCCAGCCCCCCTCGGCTGCTTCATTACACAGCTTCCTCCCTGCTTCCCACCCACCAAGATGAAGCAGATGAGGGCGAAGTGCGAGGAGAGACGCGAGGAGAACTGGCTGCTTTGCCCAAAGCTGGTGAGTAAAAGAGTTTATCTCATCGTAGTCACCGCTTTTCTTAATTGTGAGAGAATTCACATAAATTCTTTTATAAACAATTTCATTATCCACACGTAATGCCATCAGATGTTTTAACCTCTTGTTAGCAAGAAGGGTGGGTCCCAAGTCACGTCTTCAGAGTTTCCTAACAAGTCCACCTTTGATCTTTCTTCTCTTTGCACAATAAAGGACTGCTGTGGACGTGTGTGCAGAGGTGGGGTACAGGGTGTTGGGGCTCTTCAAGTCCAGTACAATGAAGTAAGGCTGAAAGGTATCTTTAAATTGACATAATGGGGAGAAGGATTGGGACCTTTTAGTTCTGGCTATTAAAATTCCATTAGAAGTCACTTTTATGTAGTTGAAAATTTACTTGAAATAGCCTTAAAATCAAAATCCTTCCCAGATCTTGAAATGCTGAGAAGCAATTGTTTAATATGTTCAAGTGGACCAAGAAAATGTCTTAAAATCCTGAACAGTTTTTCTCATACGTATATATGCACGCAACAGAACTCAAGCATCAAATCACTTCTGATCAAAATAAATTAACATACCCTCTTTCAAATGGAACAGTTTGCAGCCAGTCTGCTGCTTCCTTTTCTTTTCTTTGTCAAACTGAGCTGCTCTTTTTGTTCTCCCTCTATTTGGGGTAGTTTAACAGTGTCAGCACTTGATGACTGCTTTGGGGTGCATTCAGTAAAATGGTAAAATATTTTCATGCTTTGGTTAATCATAATCATATCAATAAATACATCTGCCTAAAAGTAGAATTCCTTTACGTTTCTTCATCAAACTCCTGATACTTTGGTGACTCAAAGTCTAAGTGGATGGAGTTCAGGGCTACCAAGGCAGTCAGACCCTGAGTGGCCAGGGTCTGGAGGGAAGAGAGACCCGGACAGGTGACATGGACAAGCTCTGCCGCTTTTCTCCTGAGTCGTTTGCTCACGTATGGGCGGTGCTGGCAGAGAAGCCAGAAAGTCTGAAAGACAGCTGCTAAGACAGCGAGGAGCTTGGCACAGGTACCAGCAGGGGCACGGTGATGGAGAGGAGGAGAGAGGACTTGCTTAACAGAACAGACTGTCGACTGGGATGTCTAAAAGACCCCACTAGAAACGGGCAAAACTGGAAATGAAACAACCCTTAAAACTACTGAAATCAAGCCTCTCCATCCTTATTCAGATCAAGGTAATTTTTTTCCCCCTCAAGAACAGAATGGAAAAACCCTTCATGGTACACTTAGACAATAGAATACTATACAGCCCTAAAAAACAAGTGTACATGCAATATGGGTGCGTTTCACAAACACTGTATTGAATGAAAGAAGAGTGATACCAAGGGCACATACTTGACAATCCTATTTCTTTAAAGTTCAAAGAGAAGAAAAATAACATATGGTGATAGAAATCAGGATAGTGCTTAATTTGCGAGGCTAATGATTAAGAATCATCAAGTCTCCTTTGAGTTTCTGGGGTGCTGGCAGCATATTATATCTTGATCTAGATGGCATTTAGTGGGGGGGGGGGGTTACATTGTGTGGGAAATATAAATTGTAAACTTGAGATGTGTGTACTTTTCTGCATCTATATTAAATCTCAATAAAAAGCTTTACACGGAGAAAACAACTTTGTATAAAAATGCCGAGGAAGAAAAGCACCAAATACCAGGCATATTGATTACTTTAGTGTTCTGGAATCAATAATAATTTCTCTTCATATTTTTTTTTTTACTTTCTTAAATATTCTAAATACTCTTTGGGGACTATATTTCAATAGTATCAATGGAAAACATAAAATAAACTATTCTAAATTACATCTCTTTGCTGTTGTCTTTTTCTGGGACTACAAGAAATATGCTCAAGGGCCGGTGTGTGTGTGAAATTAAGTGTTTCGTTTTCATTTTCAGTGACGTAGACAGTTTGCAATAACTGATATTGTATTGTCTCCAGTCTGTTTGGGTCACACCTTCAGACACAATCGCAGTCTAAGCTGTGAGGACTGCGTGAAGGGAGGCCAGTGCCGGGGAGGAAAGGGTGGGTGCTCCTGCCCCGCCAGCTGGGGGGGCGTCCTTTGTCATGAAAGTAAGTGATGCCCTGAAGGCTCGGTAGAGGGCGACATGTTCTCCTTCACTGCTGCTGAACGACTGGCGATGAGTTCTCCTATACCTGCGTCCTCCCTGAAATGTTTTAACAAGATCAGCAATGGATGTGGGTGAAAAACCAATTTATTTGTTGTGCATAGAGAATGCCTATGAAGCACTGAAGGTTTAAAGTGAACATGTGATTAAAAGGGGAGCTTTTGTGTTCCCTGGGAAACCTGAGGTAGTGTTTCTTGTTGATCCATGGAACGTAAAAGTTAATAAAGGATCCTAATAGTCTAGGCCTATAAAAGTCCCTCCATTTAAATAAGTCATTAGGCTCAGGCCGGCTATTCCCCAAACAGAAGAAAAAGAAAGGGTTTGTGCTACAAAGTGCAATCGATGCTACTGCTTGACTGCTGCTTTCTTCCGTTGGTGTTTTTCTCCTTTTATTTTTCCTTTAAAATATGTCAGTACAGCCAATAACACTTTTACGTTTTTTAGATGTCTCTCATAAAAAATATAAAAGATTTCAAAAATGATACCTCTAATAAATGTTTTCTGTATATTTTAAATGGAGGGGTCCTTGCAAGTGCTAAAACTGCCAAGTAATAAAAACAAAATATATTAACTATCTTTGTTTCCTCTTCCTCTTTTTAAAGTCACCTTATAAAAATTTTAAGAGAAGGTTTTTCTTAGTCTTTGTGATTAGCTTGGAAGAGGATATGAGCAGATTTTTCTTCTGAATCCCCAGCATATCGGAAGAAAAGGCACAAGCACTGTTTCTGTTAGGGGACAGATGCAAACTTGAGTCACAAGGTAACGCAGTGGTTCAACCAAGGTGTCCAGCTGGGGTCTTGCGGACCTTCCTTAAGCATCCCTCTGCCCGGGTGTTACTTCTGCTTAAAGCAGTCTCAAAGTGTCCCGTTTCCTGATGCATGAGCTTCGGCTTCCAGCCACCCACTGGTGACTCTCTGAAATCAGGCCCTTCTAAGTCCTCTTTGCTCTTGATCCTAATCACATCTCCCTGCCCAGTTTATCATTTCCAATGAACTAAACCACTCACTACTTATTGCTTCACACTTTCAATTTTTGTGCCTTTCGCTAAACCACCCTCCTTGTCTATTTCCATTTAGTGTATGAAGCCCCTTCTTGATGGCCCAGTCTAACCACAACTATTTCTATTTTGGTGGATTTGAAGTCACTGTCTCTCTCTCTTTCTCTGCCTCGGATCGGATTAGAGTCCTGTTCCATTTTTCTGACTAGACAGTGTGCCCACGGGCAACATCCTATTCATGTCTGTCCAAACTGACATGTCTGGAGGCACCTAGTGCCCGATGGAGCAAAAGAAGACTCGTCTTGAAGCACGGGGCTCTATTGGCCTGCAGCTCTATAAAGCTGGGATCAGTCAGCGTTGTGGCATGACTAAAGGGAAAGAAACATTTTCCTTACATTGTAAGTTTTGTTGGAAAAGGTGTGTCTTCCAAACCTTTGATTTCTAATGTGGCAGCATGTGAAATGAAACTAAACATCCATCTCAAATACATCAGCATATAAAATGACTGATGCAAAACTAACTCAGAAATATTGAACATGAGCCCTGGCCGGTTTGGTTCAGCGGTTAGAGCGTCGGCCTGCGGTCCGGAGAGACCCGGGTTCAGTTCCCGCTAAGGGCATGTACCTCGGTTGCAGTTTGTCCCCGGCCCTGGTTGGTCGTGCGGGTGGCAGCCACTCGATGTGTCCCTTCACGTCAATGTTTCTGTCTCTCTCTCCCTTCCGCTCTCCCTCCCTCTCTCCCACTGTATATGTACAAAAAGTGGAAAAATATCCTCGGGTGAGGATAAAAAAAAAAAAAGGAATATTGAACATGAACTTGCTGATAAAATGAAGACAAGATGTCCCCTTCTTTGGCTTTAGGAAATGTTGAGGACCTTTTACGTTTTCACATGGTCCTGGACAGGAGAGTCTGTCCCTGAAGGCAGAAGATATGTCTTTTTTTTTTTTTTTTTTAACGTTTTCTCTTTGCCTTTCTTTAAATTTTTTAACAAAAATGAAACAGAACAATACAAATGAAAAAAATATTTTCACTGATTCTTGAACCAAAATGGGGAGAGGGAACATTTTTAAAAATCCCTATAAACTGTAATAAATGGACATGACCAATCACTCATCAGCCGTATTTGCTCTGCAAACACAGCAAAGGAAATTCAGAAAAAGAGCGTTCTGCAGAGATCTGGAAAGTTAGTTTTCCCACTGAGTAGAACTTCTAGCCTAACACCTTTATTGGTCTATGATGAAGATCATCTGCTTTGATACCTTAGGAATTTTCCAAGTAATTATAATGAAACAACTGAAAAATTATCACATAGAAATTTGAATGGCACATTTCAGAACTCCATTTCTTTCTAAGAGATTTCATATTGACTATTTTTCATCTGCTTTTGTGAGTCTCTATCCAATACACAGGGCAGATTAGAGTATTTTCATATGACAAATGAATGGGAGGGAAAGATTCGTGACTCTTTCCAAATCATCCAGCTATGGTTTGGGGCATGTTTGTTTCAAATTTGTTTCTCCAGGGTAATTGCTCTGTTTGATGCTAATGAAGGATTTAGCAAATCCACGCACTATGGGATACCATACCCTACTTTGCCGGGGAGTGACAGGTAACAGTCTTGGTTTGCTGATATTGATCTGATGATTTTTAGATACTGAGTACGCTATTTAAACTTCCTTAACTTTCTTTTTCAGGTGGATTTTTTTAAAAATTATTCCCTCTATTGTCGCTGTAAGAATTCAAAGACTTACTACATATGTAGACCTACCAGAGGTGGGGACCATCATGAAATCAATACCAGTAACTTCATACGCATCACCTTAGTCTGACCAAATATAGCAGGCTAATTTTGTATAGCCCTCCAACGATGATTATAAATATCCAAATAGCCCTTGGCAGAAAAAAGTTTCCCCGCTCCTGAGTCCTAAACCAATATTTATGGACAGTTTTTCTTTCTCTGATTCCTTTTGTTTTCCTCTTTTCTCTTTCTTTCCTTTTCATAGTAGCCTAGGGCTTGAAAGCAAAGAAAAAAGTGAATAAGAAGCCAAGTTTCCATATTAGTATCTGGAACGGTGTGAGTGGGTGAGCAGAGGATGTGATACACATTTAATGTATATTATTTAGCCTATTATGATAAAATTTCAATGTAAATGGTTACTGAAAAATTATAAACAACTATATGTACCCAAGTTAAAATTAAAATAAAGCTACAGACATTTTTCCCAATTTATTACTTTTATTGGAATACTGAATACTTTCCCCAAAACCAACAAAACCGTTCTTTGCTTGACTTCATCATCCTGTGACAGTGCAGAACACCTTGGGATGCTCAGAACAGTCTTAATTGTATGCATTCTTGTTTAAAAATCACGCCATTCCTTTCCTACATTTTCTTTCCACTTTTTGAAATAAAAGGTGCAGTTTGTTTCTCATGAAGGTTAGTTAGAGTTAATACAGCAAGGATATCTAAGCTTTGAAAATGTACAGGTTAGAGTTTAAGGAACAAAATAAAAATTTGTTATGTAAACCTTCCGAGCCGTACCTCGGTCATCATTGTCAGTGGCTGTATCCAGTCCCCAGGAATGATGATGCCATTTACACTACGAGCATGCTGGACATACTTCCCAGGTCTGCCAGTTACAGAGATTTTAATTACTTGGTATCCGTTCTAATATGGAAGACAAGATTGTTTTTTTCCATTTGTATCACACTGAGTATGGTATATACTGCTTGCTTCACTTTTCCATTTTCTTCATAGCTTGTGCCCCCGAGACCAGCGGGAACGAGTGTGGAAGCATCTGTGATTGTCAGAACGGAGGCACCTGTGATCCTCGGACTGGGCGGTGCCAGTGCCCCCCAGGGGTGCATGGGAAAACCTGTGAACATGGTAGGAATGTGAGGTGCTGGGCTCATGAGACAACTGTTCAAGAGGTTCCTAATGGGAAATAAACTAAGTGAAAGTTGCATCTGTGTTTTCCAAGGTAGTCTTTTTCTGAAGGAGTAGAGGGCTACATCTGTGTATACAAGGGTACGATTCCTTTCACTGATGACGTGTGGAACCGAATAAGTGATTCTGACATCTCCAACTGTGATCTAAGCAGGGCGAATCCTGATACAAAAGAAAGCTTTTCTTCCACTGAGCAAAAAACTGAGTTTGTGTGTACAGGTTTGGATATAGGAGCTGGAGAGAATGTATTTGCTCTACATAATAAAATGAAGAAAAATGGAGCTACTTGGAGGCAAGGAGATGGAAAAGGAGTGGAAGGAAAGGGGAGAACAGAGAAGAAAGGATGGATGAAAACTCAAAATGCCAAGGAGGGCTCTGTGTGGAGTTTTCATGGCAGCCAATGAAAAGGCCACATTGGATAAAGCCAAAAAGAAACTACTTGTCCTGACCCAAGAGCTGAAGGCAGAGAGCCAGTGAAGAGCTAAGTCTTTAGGGATTTCCAGAAATGGAAGGAGTTTATTAGATTCCCACAGGTCACGGAACTGGGGAGAGGGAAACCAAGTTCACTTCTCTCTCTGGGAGGTGCAGGAAACCTCCTGCTGGCATCCCAGTTATGTTTCTCCCTGAATAATATTTATTCATTTATTCAAAATATATAAAGTGTTTGCAAGGCACTGTGCCAGGAATTATGATACAGTAATGGGTGCTTTGTGCTCAGAACGTGAGGAAAATAGAGTGTGAGCCAGAGCAACTTCTAGAGAAGCAGAAGTCTGCAGAAGGAGGGGCATGAGACAGGGAAAGTTGGAGGGCAGGGCGTTGCCAGACTCGGAAGTGGGGGAGAGCGAGGGCCTTAGAGAACCCGAAGAAGGCCAGCTGGTGAGGCAAAGTCCCCTGGGAAGATACAGTGCCACGTGAGGTCAGCCACGGTCGAAGCTCAGTCTCATTAAGTTTGGAGCTTTAACCTGACAGCAATGTCCAATCTTTGTAGAATTTTAGACAGAGGATGTGACATCATATATGTGGTTTTTACAAGGTCTCCCTAGCCTTCGTCCAGTCAGATTGGAAACATCTCACCTCTTGCAGGCTCTTTATTTCATGTAGCAACAGTTCTGGCAAGTTTTCCATGTGGTTTAATATTTGCTTTGTTTGTCCTTCTGCCTCTAGGATGCCCAACAGGACTCTTTGGGAAGAACTGCAAGAGGAAATGTAACTGCGCCAACCATGGCCATTGCCACAGGGTGTACGGGGCCTGTGTGTGTGAGCCAGGGCGCTACGGGAGATTTTGTCCTCTGAGTGAGTCCCAGGCATTACATTGCTCTCTGTGTGAAGAGAGGAGGCTCAGAGAAGAACCAAAAATACCTTAGAGTTAGACAAAGGAAGAGACTAAAAATCATATTGATATAGTTATATATATATAAATATATAACTTTCAAAACATTTATGTAGTTATATATAAATATATAACCATATAAACATATTTGTATAGTTATATATATAAAATATATAACTTTAAAAACGCATTTATATAGTTGTATATAAATATGTATATATATTTAACTATATATATGACAATTTATGCTCTAGTCTTTATTTAAGCTTCTTATTTTAGAGAATCTAGATTTTGATGAGTGAAAGAGAAGTATTTCTAATTTCTTTATATTTTTTCTCATTAGTGTTGACCTTAATTACTGAGAGAGGATTGTTAATAGCTCATTCAGAAGGAGACTTGACACTTTGTGGACCTTGAACATCAAAAAGACCAGGAAAAGTCTCCATTATTTTTGGGTTCTTGTGTATAGCAATATCATTCCCAAAAATTTCTGCAACAGGCTATTCTGCATTTTGCAGAAAATGTGAGAAAATACAATCATCAATAAGAACTTCAACCTCTTAAGTAACGTATTGGATTTCTCCTAATGGGACGTCTCTGGGTTGCCCACGCTCCCATATTGAAGCCGGGTGCTCGCACCTGACAGTCTGAAACAGTCTCCCCCCTACTTCTCGGCCTTGTCTGTGTGCCCTCCTTTGAAAATCCTTCCTAAGGTGACCTGAGTAATACCATGACCCATTTCATAAAAAACAGAGACCTTTTGGAGTTTTATATTGTAATTTTACTTGAATGTCCATCGATTTTGTCTATTTTATAAGAAGTATGTCCCTAGAAAACAGAGACTAAATTGTAATGACTCGAGAAAGCAGGCCAGTGAAGGCATCGTGGAAGCTGAACCAGGGTCGTAAGGAAAGCTCTGGCTTGGGTCGGCAATGCAGGAGACAAGGGAAGAAGGCACGGTGAATGTGAAAATGCAGGTGCAGCCCTGGCCGGTGTGGCTGGGTTGGTTGGCGTGTCATCTCATCCACTGAAAGGTCACAGGTTTGATTCTCAGTCACAGCAAATACCCACGTTGTGGATTCAGGCCCCAGTTGGGGCATGTACAAGAGTCAAGGAATCAGTGTTTCTCACACTGATGTTTCTCTCTCTTTCTCTCCCCTCTTTCCCGTCTCTAAAAAATCAATAAACATATACTCAGATGAGGATTTAAAAAAGAAGAAAAATGCAGATGCAGAGGGAGTGTTCTAGAACACCATGTACCTCCTAGAACATGCCAAGAGAAGAAAACTCACCTAAAAAAAAAAATATGACATCATTTTTATTATTGTTCCTTTAAAGCAGCGATTTCCAACCTCTTCATCTCATGGCACATGTAAATTAATTACTAAAATTCTGCAGCACACGAAAAATATATATTTTGCTGATGCGACCCCAAAAAAGTATAATTTTGATTGGTTTACAAAATAATAATAGTAATTACCTACCTTTGTGCTCCAAAGTGACTTTTAAAAAAATCTGGTGCACCCAAGCTGGTGTAGGTCAGAGTGTCATTCCATGCACTGGTAGGTCGCCAGTTCAATTCCCAGTCAGGGCACATGCCTGGGTTGTGGGCTTGATCCCCCGTAGGGGGCGTGCAGAAGGCAGCTCATCCATGTTCCCCTCTCATCTATGTTTCTATCTCTCTCTCTAAAAATCCTTAAGCCATATTTTTAAAAAATCTGGTGCCTATACTTATAAATAAGGATCTCTGGTACCAAGAATAAATGAATCAGACACAATCTTATTATGCAATGTGACCAATAAAATTCAACTCTAATATATGACCTATATATTTATGGTTCAAGACAAGGCATTCACACTGGACAGCTGTTGTTGTGTTGGCTGTTGTCATTTTGTTTCATTTGACAATCTAAGAAAAAGAGATCAGTGCCCCTGACTAAAGAGTCAGGTATTGAATGAATGTTTTAAAAATTCTTGCGCATACTGGTTGAAAATCTCTGCTCAAGGGTAACAAGATACACCCCATTTTCAGTAATAACTTTGGATATTTTATAAGGCGATACCAGATATTTTAGAGAAAAAAAAAGTATTAAAATCATAACTCATCTGGTCAAATATTTAAAGAACAGATGGTAGTGGTGGTAATTGTAGTTAGCATTTTGAATGTGATCATCTTTAGAAAATATACACACATTTTAGTTTTTCAAGATTCTTTCTCCCTTAGACTTGAGGCTTCATTTATTAATGTCACTTGCCTGGCCCTGAGAAGCTTCAGTTTGCGACCCTATCTATGTGCATTTTCCAGAGCTGCTGTGAAGGGCCCCACACTGAGTCTTAACTAACAGCTATCTGTGGCCTTGCAGTCTGGAGGCTGGAAGTCTGGGATTGGGTGTTAACAGGTCATGCTCCCTCGAAGGCATGAAGGCTCAGTTCCAGGCCCCTGTCCCAGCTTCCTTCGCCTGTGACAACATAACTCCAGTCTTCAAAGGGCTTTCTCCCTGTATGAGTAGCTCTGGGTCCAGATTTCCTCTATTTAGAAGGCCAGCAGGCTTGTCAGATTAGAGGCTTATCCTACTACTTCAGTAAGACCTCATGTAAACTAATTACATCAGTAATAGTGCAATTTACAAATAAGATCACATGCTGAGGTAAGGGTAAGGACTTCAACATATGAATTTTTTGGAAGACATATTTCAATGTATAACAAACCTTGAGTAGATACTGGATTGACAAAAGAAGTTACATCTCCCACTTTTTCTTTTTTTCTAAGCATATTTCCTGTTCTGTGTTCTTAATGTACACACCCGTCACATTTAAGCATTCCATTGTGCCTGAGGTGTCCCCCTGAACCACTAACCCTTGGACATCTGTAAGGGAGAGACAAATTATCAGAGGTCTATTTTGGAAAGGGGATTGAATTACTGTAGGTAGCTCCTCAATGAGAGATCTCAGGGTAGGTTTTCCTGAATGCAAAGGCAAGACTTTTTCAAATGGTCATTCCTGTGCTATCATCTGTAAAACCCAATTGCATGGGGAAAATAGTGGAGGAGAGGCAAACACCATTTGCCAAAGATGCGACCAAGATAATGCTGCTGTCCCCATTAAAGTCACATGCTATCTACACGATGCGAAATTCTTTCCAATTGCCAGACAGTGAAGGGAAGACAATGGTGAGCTTCCCATCAGTGCCTGTCCATCATTGCCATGCTGCAGCAGGATGAATATGGGGCCTGGCAGGCCTCGAAGTCCTCGGAGAATGTTAACTATAGGCACCAATGGAGCACATTGAGAAGCAATTTTTCTCCCGGAAGCTCCAAAGCCTTTTAAGTAGCTCAGGCTTCATTGTTCACATCCACTTGCCAAAAAAGCAAATGAATTGCCTGATTTGAAAGACATTTGTTTCCCTGGTTTTTGTTTTCATTTCTTTTTGGCAATTTGGATGATCCCCCTGCTTCCCCTGTAATCAGGCCCTGCAGAACCACAGGCCTGTGCACTGACAATGTGAGAGAAAGCGAGGCGTGGCTCTCAGGTGCCGGTCACCTCCATCTGCTTGCAGACTGCCCCAAGGGGGCCTACGGAGCTGGCTGCTCTTCGGAATGCCAGTGTGTGGAGGAGAACACCCTGGAATGCAGCGTCAGAAATGGCAGTTGCACCTGCAAATCTGGTTACCAAGGCAACAGATGCCAGAAAGGTACAATCTGATGATAAATTTTCTTTCTTCTCTAATAACAATGCTCAGCCTTTGTTCAGCACCGTAGGATCATTAATTATTCAATCTGCTGGTGTTCTCGGGAGATAGGTAAGCTTTATTAATCCCCTATTTGCAGGTGAGGAAACTGAGACACAGGGCAAAAGAAAAGTTATTTACCCTTGTCACCTCAGCCTCCGCTGTCAGCTGTCCCCTGACTCGGTTGAGCAAGGCAGGGAAGGAAGATCACATTGCAGAGACCCTTCTCCTAAGAAAAGTCAAGCTGGCCAATCACGCCTTTGAGGTGAATGAATCAGCCAAGGGCACTGCTGACTTTCAGAGTTACAAAACTAATTTTCTTTATATCTAAAGACAGATCATTCAAACAAATGCATTTCGCGGATTCTAACAATAGAAAAATCTTGACAAATTTGAATGTAGTGATCAGCGTGGTCCTTTCTCAAATTTCTCAATATTACATATATCATGTTTATTATTGGGATGTACATCCCAATTCCAATGATAAATAACATATATAGATATAAGTGTGTAGATGCATATAAAATTTGGACAAAGGTACCCCAATCTTAGCGCCGACCGCCTCCCCTGTGGTCTCCAGGAAATCTTCTCCCCACGTGTCTGCCTGGCTCTGCCATTTTCACCAAGGCTCAGGCCGCCTTCTGCGGTCCCTCTTCGCCACTACCCTCCTTGAAATTGCAACTTGCACGTCTTTTTTAACTTTTTAATTTTTCCAAAGTGCTCATCATCTTTAAACATGCCAAACATACCATATCCTATAATTATTCTTATGTCTAATGTTCATTGCCTATCCTTCCTGCTAAAAGCCAGGTCCCACAGGAGACGGATGTCCATTCCCTGCGTTCACCAACGTATCCCCAGACTCCTAGAATAATCCTGACGTACAGGACTTGCTCAAGCAGTGTATTCTTAAATGAATACATAAATGTGAATCTTTAATTTTATTCTTTATAGGGTTTTTTTTCTCATATTATATATTCTGAATTAAATACTTGTTACTATTTTATTCAGAGGAACTTGTCATAGCGGTGTTTTCTCTTTAATAGAGAGCGAGACTGAGCATAAAACAAACAAATTGTCGTAATGAATAGCAAGTGAGCTTTTTGCCTTTGATGGGAGCAAAGGGCAATCCTGTGTAAAATCTGGAGGGTTGGATGGGTTCGAAAGGAAGCCGGCATGCCCCTGGGTCTGTTCACGGAGACAGGCCCTGGCTCTGCATTGTCTTTGGCGCTCGCCTTGGTCCTTGCGCTGCTGTCTTCTGAGAGCTGCAGGGCCTGGCAGAGGCCACTGAAAGGAAGGAGGCTGGTTCTAGGTGTTCCAGCCGTCCTGTGGCCACGGGCCTGGACTCACGCAGCGACGTCCGTCTAGATCTCGTGGCGCGAGGGCTCTTTAGGGAGCTGGACGGTGACTTTCTAGGCAGTGGGGGAAAGAACTTGGGAAATGGAAGCCTGGCATTACACAATGTTTTCTATCACATGAGTGGGTCCCATGCCCATCTCTAAACCTCCTCCTGATTTTTATGGCCAGACTCAGCCCCTTATTCCTTTCCCTACTAGAGAAGTCATGCCCTGGAAGGCAATGCATGAGGAGACAACATGCTATACACACACCTGGGTAAATTTAATTTATTCTGATAACATTCTCTTAAAGCAGCTGCTGAGTATACTATCTTGGAAAATGCTTCTGAGAT